AGAGAGAGAGAGAGAGAGAGAGAGAGAGAGAGAGAGAGAGAGAGAGAGAGAGAGAGAGATGGATGAAGTGAGTCGTGTAATGAGCAACTATTTCGAACTGTTCGGAGGGGCAGTTCAAGACTGGCAGCAAGTTTACACGCCAGATTGAGCAAGAGAAAAAGAATTCGATGCATGGACAGGGAGGCCAGGGGGAGAGAGTGTCGCAGCCCAAACATCACATGGAGGGGTCGTTCAAAAATATCAGAAATTTCCTCCATGTACATCCCAGACCCAAAACATCACAGCTCGAGATATGAGCTGGGAAGGGGGCTTGCAGAGAGGGTGACTGCATATACTTTCAAAAACTAGCAGACATTTCCTAAGTCTACATAGGGGGGACTGCGGATGTGGTGACAGTGCCCTGCTGCATGTACATGAGGGCCGCGCAGTAATAGCGTCCAGGTCCAGGCCCAGGGTGGCCAGGGCCCCAACATGGCACACTCCTCAATCTCTAAGACGTCAAGCCCCTGCGCTCTCAATCACAAGGGGGAACACTGGATGTCGGTGGGAGAGAGGGTGGAATTTCTGAAGCCTCCTTAGCACGACATCGGCACAAAGGTAAGCCAAAATTGGGGTGCTGAAACCTCTGCTTCAGCCATTTCGCCCGTGATCAAACACTGGCCTGCGAAGGAGTCTCTCAAGCATCAATGAAACGGGTGAACACGTGAATCCTTAGACAGTGCAGAACATCAACAACCACCAAGGGGCACCCCAGCTGATTGCCGGCCTCATGCAAGATAGGCCCGGGGCCAAGCCATTTAGGGAGGAGATTCCTCAAGAAGATATCCCGTTTGAGACTGAACTCCTTTGCCAAAAGCCAAAAGATGTGGACCTCTTGGAGGGAACATGCCCATCGATCCCAATTTGCCTGCTGCAACGCCTATGGCTCTGGGCCTTCATCATCTCGCCCTAACAGCATTTAAATCTGAACAAAACGACTGAGCTGGGCAGATAAGTCTCAGCCTGATGTGGGACGAGGGCATCAGCAGCAGGTACTCGGGCGGAGCAACCATGCTCCAACTGGAATCATGACATGCCGATAGTCGGATGAACAGATGTGTTACACGCAAACATGATAACATCCAAACACTGTTTCCAATCCTTCGAGCCACAATGCGTCCAGGTCGGCTCTCTCTCTCTCTCTCTCTCTCTCTCTCTCTCTCTCTCTCTCTCTCTCTCTCTCTCTCTGTGTGTGTGTGTGTGTGTGTGTGTGTGTGTGTGT